TTTCAGTCAAGAACCGATATAATCATCTTGCCGACGTGACGTTACTCGTGAACGCTCAAAACGGGGTGGGTTCCTGTTGTTCCCCGTCTGTTGGCACTGACCCCAAACTGACTGCATGTTGTTACCGTGAACATCAAAAGTGTTGGGGGGCGGTGGGGTAGTCTAGTGGTTAAAGCGTTGGCTCGTCACGCCGAAGACCCGGGTTCGAATCCCCACATGGGCACATTGTGTGAAGCCCATTTCTGGTGTCCCCCGCCGTGATATTGCTGGAATATTGCTAAAAGCGTCGTAAAACCATACTCACTCACTCACTCACTCACTCAAAAGTGTTGGCAGCGCCATCTAGTGCAAATACGGTGTCAAGCATTCCATCAAGCAACCGCTCATTTCTAGACAGGCGTGTGATAATGTTTACGGGTTTTGACTGTTATTGTTTTCCGAGAATGGCAGCACTTCAGGGGTTTAAGCTGAGTATCAAGTATAGTATGAATGTGTTACGAATTATTAACACCTTGGATTCTATTAATGCAGTGGCCGGATGCACATGGATACATGGCTATCACGACAAGGTTTATTATTCTGAAACAAATCTAAGGACAATTCTATTTTAATGAGATTGTGTCAAGGAATTTGTATTCGATAGTCCTTATCTAATATCAGAAAGTCACGTTGATCACAAAACCGTAGCATAATTAAACACGTTGCACAACATTAATAACGACTTAAGTGTGCAACCTTTCCTGCATGTTAGTCTTCAAACGAATTTACATTTGGCAAAATATGGGATGTTCATATTCACTGAAGGAATGCTAGTGCTCCTGCGTTATATGGTGTCTGTATGGGATGTTCATACTCACTGAAGGAATGCTAGTGCTCCTGCGTTATATAGGTGTCTGTATGGGATGTTCATACTCACTGAAGGAATGCTAGTGCTCCTGCGTTATATGGTGTCTGTATGGGATATGGGATGTTCATACTCACTGAAGGAATGCTAGTGCTCCTGCGTTATATAGTGTCTGTATGGGATGTTCATACTCACTGAAGGAATGCTAGTGCTCCTGCGTTATATGGTGTCTGTATGGGATGTTCATACTCACTGAAGGAATGCTAGTGCTCCTGCGTTATATAGTGTCTGTATGGGATGTTCATATTCACTGAAGGAATGCTAGTGCTCCTGCGTTATATGGTGTCTGTATGGGATGTTCATATTCACTGAAGGAATGCTAGTGCTCCTGCTTTATATGGTGTCTGTATGGGATGTTCATACTCACTGAAGGAATGCTAGTGCTCCTGCGTTATATGGTGTCTGTATGGGATGTTCATACTCACTGAAGGAATGCTAGTGCTCCTGCGTTATATGGTGTCTGTATGGGATGTTCATACTCACTGAAGGAATGCTAGTGCTCCTGCGTTATATAGTGTCTGTATGGGATGTTCATATTCACTGAAGGAATGCTAGTGCTCCTGCGTTATATGGTGTCTGTATGGGATGTTGCGTTATATGGTGTCTGTATGGGATGTTCATATTCACTGAAGGAATGCTAGTGCTCCTGCGTTATATAGTGTCTGTATGGGATGTTCATATTCACTGAAGGAATGCTAGTGCTCCTGCGTTATATAGTGTCTGTATGGGATGTTCATATTCACTGAAGGAATGCTAGTGCTCCTGCGTTATATGGTGTCTGTATGGGATGTTCATATTCACTGAAGGAATGCTAGTGCTCCTGCTTTATATGGTGTCTGTAGTGTGGTCGATATACAGTGAAGCCTCGTTAATCCGGACGGTTGCGTCACAACATCCGATGAAGGATATTCATTAAGGAGTAGTCTCAATTCGACAACGCAATGTCATCTTCATCCACAGAATCTGAATCACCTTCATGAGAAATAATATCCACAGTTGCTAATTGTTTGCGCACTAACTTCGTCCCAACTAGTTTTCACAATGCACTTGCTTCGATATAGAGTGTCGAGATTTGAATCTGTCCCTTATGTGTAATTAAAACAACAACCCTTAACTGACATTTCTCAAAAGTTAACAAGAGTTCATCTTGTCTTGAACACGACTTACAGCCTCCGGACTGTGAAGCAATTTACTGTTTATTTTACTGATTGGTGACAGCTACTTATAAAGTTGTCTTTCTTCGAACGAAATAATTCTATCACCCAAATAAATGACGGAGGAAATGTAGATCCGTGTATACATGCCTATGTCTATTAATCCTAACTACAATATGAACGGTATAAAATGCTCCTCTTTATGTGTCATATACGGCCGCTTGTCCGGGACACTCAACTCTTTCTGGTCATATAATTGGAAATAGAAACTATAAATAATCTATATGGTATAAAGGGAATAATTTGTTACTTCCACTGAAGTAGAGAATGGAACACGGTTGCGGAAATCACCAGTGGGCACAGATGACCCCATTTATCATGAGGCCCACTACCTAGAGTCCATTATCTACAGTTGCTGACATGGAGCGGCATAAATCAGTACCTACGCTTTAATCATACACCTCTCAATAAACTCACACATTTAGTATTCATTAGGCTACTGTTAATCTAACTCATGAGTCATGTACAGTCAGCATTTATCATGAACAACAGCTTACATGTATGGAGGTATCTAATCTGTCATACAGACCCTGAAACAAATAAGTCCAAGAAAGTCTATATCCATGCAAGTCTAGAATATGTGGCAAGTATTGATTTCCACAATTTCCACAATGAAGAAAGTCTCAGGGCTCCTTTTCATAAAATATGTGTATTTATTCATTATGAATTGTTGTTTTTTTCTGTAAAACATGTTCATTTCAGAGACTAGTTGTTAGTCTTACTCTCTTACTCCCCAAATATTTAACTTGCTGGAATACAGCCGTTGTGAATCATAATGATTTTGGTATACATATCTTTTACTTTTCCTATTCTTGTTTTGAAATATCAATGTAAAAATAAATGATGACAGACCACTCTCATTTAACAGTGGTCAGCTCTGTGCATTCCCTGATATTTTAATCGGTTTATGAAAACATAAGCGTACAAGCAATTGTTTTGTAACCAATCAAATGTCCTAGAATCACTGGCGATATATGTATTGACATATCCACTTGTGCAATAGCTACATGTAGAGACGGGTGAACAAGTTTGTTACGAAATTCTACAAATTAAAACGCGTTTTAAAAGTCCTAATTTCGTCAGGTCTGTGTCTATACTTATGGATTAAAACGATTTTACAAAACTACAAAAAGCAGTGGTAACATTAGATAACTACTTGTTCACAGAGATAACAATTGGGCGATGGTCTTATGAAGACAGTTTGAACCAACACTTTGTTATTAAGTGCTACATTGGGATCCTGGCTTCAATGGCTACGATATGCACTAACGGTTTTACGATGCGATAAGTTAAGTTCACTTTTAGTTCAAACACAGGATATGTATGCAATGGAGGATATGAATATAACAGTTTTCTCTAAGGCGAGCAAATCAAGATAATTAGACATTGCTGCCACGGAATGCCAAGCAAGTGGATAAAACGTTTCTACATAAAATCTTTAATAGAACAGTTTTGTAAGTAACGGTAGGATAATTGCGTGCTTGATTGTGACCTAGGGCAACAGCGTGAAAACAAAATGTGTGAAGTTTCTCTGTTTAAGTAAATGTTACAAAGCCGCTCAAGATGACATCTGTCTCACATGAACTAACACGTGTGGCTCCCCAACGTTTTCCCATATGTGAGTGGAATTCAAATGCAGATTTGTTCATGTCAGAAATACAGAACAAATCATACCTAAACATGTGGGCGAGTGTCAAGCGCTGTGCATCTTAACGTTTCCCTTGATATTTCCAATCCTCACATTGTCCTGCCACTATGGCAATGGTGATAGGCCGATAACAATTTAGTCCATGAGTCGTAAAAGTGTGGATTTTCATAGATGCAACGTATATAGGAAACATCAACGGTCTGTTGTTAAGGTCACTGCAGAGAAAGCAATATCTGCTCGGTGAGTGTCAGGAATTACTGAATTACATCATACACTCTATAGAACCCACGAAGGTAATGCAACTCATATATATCACCGTTCCATTGAAATAAAAGCATGTCTTGTTACTGTTGCATTCACCCCTTTACCGATGGTGTTTATGTTGGTCTGTAGATTTCAAGGTTAGATTTCAAGATATTTACCATACACACTGGAAAGATATGCAAGCAATGCCATATGAACCTCAGATTTCACGTGTACGCTACATCATTAACACATTTGAGAAATACAGTTCTTCGTGTGATGTAAAACGATTATCATATGCCTAGTTTATTACCACTAAACTATGACTACAAGTTCCATTAAGTTCTCTAGCAATCTATCTCCAATTAGCGCCATGCAGTTTAATCATAACGCTGAGACTCTATATATCAAGCAATGATCGGCGTTTAACACAGCAGGTGGTCTTGGGCCAGATTAGAGTCGTCGATGTTCTTATATATTTTTAACCTCGGAATCAGAGGTATGTCACATAGTCAACGTCTTCTGCAGTACCGGAGATCAGGTCTTGCATGTATTAAGAGTGAGTGAGTGAGTTTAGTTTTACGCCGCACTCAGCAATATTCCAGCTATATGGCGGTGGTCTGTAAATAATCGAGTCTGGACCAGACAATCCAGTGATCAACAGCATGAGCATCGATCTGCGCAATTGGGAACCGATGACATGTGTCAACCAAGTCAGCGAGCCTGACCACCCGATCCCGTTAGTCGCCTCCTACGAACAGACATAGCTAATGAATATTGTAATACCTTTGTTACAAAAATCTTAACGATTGCGATCGGTGTTTAACTGTAATATCCATAACGTCACACTTAGGTTCAGTGAAGCGTTTGTTTTAATCGACAAGTTTGACAAAGAGCTGCAGTGATCGATGTTTGTAAATTCTGATGAGACTAATTAGTCGCTGCTGTCAGTGGAGAGGTTAGCGGTGATAGTTGTGGTCGCGGTAAACACGGCACTTACATCTTCACCCACAGTTGACTTGGTTTCAACAAACACACGAGGAATTACGGTATATACATATCCATAAGAGACGGCTCTTGCTAACGGGATGACAAATCACTGGAACTACAGCCCGTCACATGTACTGATTTACATATGTATTTGAGTGATTTGATTTGAAGCGCGTTTGACGAAACACTTACAGAAGAACTGTAGTCAGGTGACAAGTCGTTGATAATCCGCTCTCGGTATCATTCAGGAAGCAAGGATCCCTGAGATTTCAACACATTCTTTGACTGGAGTACATTGCCGATCTTGCATAGGTTTGATAACGGCGACTCTATCCGAGTGCTTTCAAAGATATTTCTCGCTGTGTGATTCAAACTGGATATAGCGTAGTTGTAATACAAGTGTGTTTCCATTGATAGCGCGCTTGTCAGATTCGCCTGCGTCGTGAACGGCTGTGGCAGCGTTCTCTGACGAGTAACTCAGAACCAAGGGTACCTCCCCCTCACATGGAGACTATCTTGATGGAGGAACGTTCTTTCTTTCTCGACAGGCCGCAGGACGGGAGGGTGAATGGAATTGGGGAAAAACAGCCAGGGGTGAAGCCAGTTGTGTCTGGGGACCCGCTGAAGACTGAGGTAAAGCCCAGCCCAAACGACCGCCCGTCCCTGAGGGATGTTTTGATGGACTTCTCCCAGTCGACCACACTCCATGGCCTCAGATACATATGCCTTGATGGAGCATTTCTGGCGAGAAGGTAAGTACACATTACTTCATGTGTCCTTTCTACCTTAAAATGGAGATCGGTTGATTTGTGCTTTTTCATTTTGATGTTTATTGTCGGGGTTGTACATTGTAATTGGGTTTGACTATTCTTAAAATAGAAGGTAATATGATAGTGCGGTTCTCTAATAATTGTATTGGAAAAATTCATATAATTGTATATTTCGAGTTTTAATAAATGTGTTATTATTAACATTTCCATCACGTATGCTGTGTTGATATTAGCCATGGCGGTGGTCAAGCTGAAGTAGTGCGGTATGGTTGTATACGTACGCAGTGGAGCGATCCAAACTGATAGTGTCTAAATTGATTGATTTTCCAATCAAATTCGAGTATTTCACGTAGTCATGGTAGAATGAAACTTTATGTAGTAGCTTGGATTTAACTTAACGTTCTGTAGTAGCTAGAATTTAACTTAACGTTAAGTAGTAGCTAGGATTTAACTTAACGTTAAGTAGTAGCTTGGATTTAACTTCACGTTAAGTAGTAGCTTGGATTTAACTTCACGTTAAGTAGTAGCTTGGATTTAACTTAACGTTCTGTAGTAGCTAGGATTTAACTTCACGTTAAGTAGTAGCTTGGATTTAACTTAACGTTCTGTAGTAGCTTGGATTTAACTTAACGTTCTGTAGTAGCTAGGATTTAACTTCACGTTAAGTAGTAGCTTGGATTTAACTTAACGTTCTGTAGTAGCTAGGATTTAACTTAACGTTAAGTAGTAGCTAGGATTTAACTTCACGTTAAGTAGTAGCTAGGATTTAACTTCACGTTAAGTAGTAGCTAGGATTTAACTTAACGTTAAGTAGTAGCTAGGATTTAACTTAACGTTATGTAGTGGCTAGGATTTAACTCAATATAATGTTCAGTCTTCCTGAACTGGGGAATGTGGTTTGCTAACCTTTCTAACACTAGTCTAAACAGTTTCAGAAATGTAAAATTCTCTTGAAGCACAATCAATACATTGTCGTTATACAGCGTCATGCATCAGTCGTCGGGTTGCTACTGATGTCAGGGACGCTGATGACCAAGCTGTTCAACGGGTTACAATTTGTGTAAAGAGTTGTGTCTATCATAGCGTGCCAGAAGCATATGCTTGTTAGTTCACGAACTTGGCATGGAACATTTTTCGGGTTTTGTCAGCAGCAAACCAGTGCCCAGGCGTAATTGATAGAATGATCAGACGTACATTACCCCAATACACCACCCCACACACACACACACACACCGATATGTTAGTGAGACCCTGTACAAAGACGCGTTAGGCCCAACTTGCTCTGACGTTAATCCTAAATTGAACTCCCGTTAAGCGCAACTTGCACACACGTCAAATCCTTATTGAACACGTCATGTTAAGCCCAAATCGGACGCTCGTTAAACCAAAATTGCACAAAAAATTAAACCCAAATGGCACACTCGTTAAACCTACCTCGCACACGTTACGTCTCAACCCGCACGCACCACCATTGTTCAAGGCGAGCAAAATAACTCCAACTTTGTACTCATTGTGTCGAGTGACAGTTTCTTTATGGGACACCTGACAACAAAGTTTGATCTTCCTTCCTGTCTTGAAAACACCAGGTGTCATTCCTGTTACGGTCATAGTAGCTTGGATGTATGGTCCTCGATCACTAAACCCTACAGTTCCTAGGGATCCAACCGTTTCTTGTGAGAGCATGACGTAGAATATGTAAGCATGACCATGACTCTGTTATTTAAAGATTACTGCAGATTATGTCTCTTCCATGATGTCTTTAAGTTGTGTGTAATTTAAACTATAACCAGTCTCATGACTGAGTGTAGTATAGCTTCATTTGGGCACAATATCGGATGATTTCAGACTGCATGAAGCATGATGTTTATTTTCAATACACTTGAATTATGTTATACACGTACACTTAACGTACAACAATATACGTTCCTTAGAGTGTCGTGTTTAAATTGCGATGGAGTGAACTCAAAAGTCACACGGTCTACTAATCCGTAATGCCTATCGTGATATTTACTCATATTGTGTTCAATATCTTCCGTGCCAGGATATGACAGAACATCCATGTTGTCTTACAGCTGTAATTGGCAAAAACACGATCAAAATGCCACCGGTGACAAGACGTAATATCAAACCGAAACATGAGTCTCATTAACCTATTCAGACAATGACCCACTTTTCAGGCGATCCCAATTTTCTCGTGTGAAAGTGAAAAGAGACACCTCAAACAACTATGGTTACACTGAATTCTAATTGCTTGTTGCATAAGACAATGGTATTTACAAGTTAATTTTAATTTTAAAGTTTAATAGCATCGTATTTCTATATTCTATGGCGAGTTTTTTTTTATTTAAACATATTTATTCAAGAGAATGGATTGGGTACAAGTTATGCCAACTTAGTGAAACCCTCTCCTATTTACAGTGCTTACATGCAAAAGTGAAACAAACTATATGTACAGGGATAGAAAGATATATACAAAATGATATATACAATACAATGAATACATGAATTATTTAGATCATACACATTATATCCAATCACTGAACCTTTTGGAATTTGATATATATTTTTGAACTTCTTTAAAAAATGTGAATATTGTCACTATACGGAAGATCTGCACTGCCATTTAATAGTACGTCTAGGTTTGTTGGTGCTTTAATGTTACAAATTCTGCTAATATTTTTAAACATTTCCTGTCTGATAACAGAATACAAAGAACATTCCATAAAATAATGTTGAGAATTTTCACAGGTAAATTTACAATTACATTCTGGGTTCTCTATGAGACCGATCCTATATAGATCACCATTTAATCTACTATTTGAATATCTTAGCTGGGTATGAATTACATTGAGTTTTCTATTACCAAATGAGAAATATCCTGGTGCTTTTGACGAGCTTATATGCGATTAAAAACTTTTAAGGGGAAACTGATTCTCTAACATATAAAGGGAGATTATTCCAAAGTTGTGCAGATGATGGGAAAAATGATTGACTGTAGAGATTTGTGCGGGAATAGTACAGGGAAAGATCACGAATGTTTCTAAGATTATAATTTGTCCTAGATTCAACAGTTTGAGGCATAAGATCACAAAGGTAGGATGGAGCATTTTTGTTGTAGATATTATAGAATAAAGACAGTTTACGATATCTTCTTCTTTCTTTTAACATTTGCCAACCTGTTTCATATATCAGAGTATCTCTAGTAGCATATTTTGGTAAACCAGTAACTATCCTGGCGGCCTCAAACTGAACTTTTTTCAATTTTCAACCGAACAACCATCCCACAATTCACAAGCATATTCAAGATATGGTCTTATGAATACAATATAAATCTTATTAAGAGTGTCTCTGTTTAACATAAACTTTAATTTTGGCGAGGTTGAGGCAGCATGACCTTTACTAAGACGTCACAGACTGCCCCTGTTTGATTAGGTCGTAAAATGAATCATAATCTGGCTCACTGGTTACACATGTTATGTTTTCTTTGCGCTTATTCAGTGTAGTTTTGTAACGGACAATGTGGTTGACATAATATCAAGTCCGTACCAGACCACCAAACCTTTCTAGCGGCAGAGCCTCATTTTGAGATTTCCACGATTTCCAGTTTCCGTTCTTCAGAACACGCTGTACGACAGAGCATGTTGCACGACGTGTTTGCAAGGAGCGTAGTGTTGCAATATACAAGTGGTTAGATGTATCAAATAATACTGATTAATATTTATGTATCCAGTTGAATGAATTTGTCTCAAATTTCTGGACTGGTTATTGTACTAAGTTGCGCAATAGGACGGAACCTAATCAGCAGGAAACGAGACTGTTGTGTTATCAATGTTTTGACTTGGTATTTACCGACATACAGTGTATATATGTTAAATAAGCATGACCCCCTCCGTGACACCCAAGGGACTCAATCATTAAATGTTCACCTGTTCCTTTGCTAAAAAAGTAAATAGGTAGTAGAATAGTAGTATAAGTTTGAATAAGAATTTATAATTTTACATATCAATAAATAATAATTGTAGCTGTATATGTCAGCTGGCGCATGGAGTTGACGATGTCGCAGTGTTCTATGCCTGCAGGTCCGGGGAACAATGTACAGTGAGAGTCATTGTCCCGAAGAGGGCATCCTAGTTCACAACGTCCCAGGACAGCGACATCAGAATACCCCAGCCAAGATAGTCCACTCTATGTCAATAATTTAGTGCACAGTGTCCAACGTTCCACAGCTCGCTGTCTCTAACTATTGGGACTGCAATGCCTCCAGTGATCCAGTTGAAAGAGAATTGTGTATAATTGTCTTGACATTCTACTAGACATACATGTGTACAGGACAATACCTACATAGCTTTACCATTCTTGGCATTTTGTCGTTGTTATTACACGTCGGTTAGTTCGTGCCATCAGCGGTGGTTTCTCCTTGTATATAATTCCACTGGATGCCTGAAATACTTGCCAAACCCAAAATCCTACATGTGAATACATCGGTGGAATTGGAGGTATCAATTCTCAATAACCACCTCTGACTGGACACTGCTAAAGATAATATATATGCTTCTTTCTCTGTAATTGTCGGTGGGCATTTTGAAATACTGTTTTGTCCAAATTTATTCAAAGTTGCGGTATATCTGGCAATATATTTTGTGCAATAAACACGACAAAAGTCGACTTACACTGCCAGGAAGAGAGCTTTACAGTTGGCACTACTCTGTATTTCACACCAAATACACCAAAGGGTTTGCGATTAATTCTATCAGGCCGAATAGAGAGAAGTGGGACCGGTTCCTCAATCAATTTAGCATCCTACAATCTACACGTAGCCTAACTCGAAATGGAAAGCACATTCTCCTAAGGTCATAAGTCATATTTTTATCGATATTGCAAAGTTCAAAAGCCTTCAGATATTCTGATGTACACTCCGTCATTCACACAGGTGAATATATATGTGTATACACTGTAAACAAAAACACAATATTTGTCTCCAT